TGTATTTCATAATAACTGATTAAAACATGTAGTAATGGTAATGATATGTGTATAAACTCAAACTAGAAACACGTTTCCAGGGTGCTTTCTTTTGCTTTTATGCACTCAATAATCTATGTGGCCGGGTGATGCGATAGGGTGTTTGATCTATTGTCGACAGACATGGTCATTTCGGAGCAAAACGTTTAAAGGTTGAGGTCTGTATAAAATCTCCCCTTGTTCAACTTGTCCTCCGAGCTGTACTCATCAAGAGAAGAATAACCAAGCACGGTTGTGTTGGTCGCTATCCTTTCCCCCGATCTAGGGTGAGCAGCTGTTTTTCTTTTCAGCCATTGCCATTTTTGGATGATGGAGAGCCTAGAGAGGCGAAGAACTCTTTGGGTCAAGCCAGGCCTATAGTTATTCCATCACATTTGCATTTCACATAGCCATGTTTCACGATGTGTTTTGAGCCGTTGTCAAACATATTTGCTGTGTAGCATAGTTTTGCTTAACCCAAGCCAAGAATGTCCATTAAGCGCAACTAGTTTTAGCTCATGTCAGACTCATGTCATGTGCTTCAGCAGAGGAAGTTCTTCAGAACCAGGGACCTTAACAGCCACGGATCAGAACGTGAAAGTTCCGTCCTGTGAGCTGAGCAGCTGAGCAGCAGCTGAGCTCCGAGGTGGCGGCTGGGCCTGACACAAGTTGGGGAATGTATTTGCAAAGCATGCCCGCGCAGTGGGGACCCTCAGTGAAGAGGTTGATGCCATGGGCAGGGTGCCTGTTATGACCTAAGCGAAACAGCGATTGGGGCCTGTTCTGACCTTCGCGAACGTTTGACAGCAGAACAGTAGGGCCGTATCACTTTTGTTTTGGTCCATCACCATGCATTCATGACTCAGAAACTTCAAAACTCCAAAAATCAACTATCAAACACATGTGATACGGTTTTGAGCTTGACTCTTCAACGTTTATCATGCAAATCTACCAATTACTGTTTGTTTAATTTGGCGGTCAAAGCTCCAAGCCACATGATCAGTTCACCACACTCCGAAAGCATTCGCAAGCATCCGACATGGATGTTTGACAGAAGGCATGAAGACAACATGTTGTTTGGGGAAACACCCAATATGTTATTTTCAATATGTGGACATTTCTTCCCTAAGGTGCCTTACACTGCATTGCAGACATGTGCGCAAGTTAAGTCATAGATTTTGATGAATTTGGTCAACTGGTAGGTGGAGGTGCGGCAGACTTGGCAGTATATTGTTTGTTCCTCACAAGTCCTAGCTACAGTTGCTCACCCAAAATTACCGTGTGTTTGTTGGAAGAGTCATGTCAGTTGATAGAATGTGGAGCCGTTTAAGAAATCCATCCATATGCCGCTCCCCACCTGAGTGTGTACAAAAATCCGGCGCGCCAGGAATTTTGGTGTGTCATTCTCCACCTCACGGCCCACCACTGATGGAGACGGGGTTCCAAGGAGAAATGTTGGAAAGACACGCTTGGGCCTGGGCTTCCAACATGCATGTTGCGCCCAGATCTGGGTTTTGGTTCATTTTGGACAACACCAGAATGTTTTGGGACGAACAGGTTGCTTTCTTTGATGTGATACTGTGATACTATGTGTTGCTTTGAGTTACCTTACTGAGCATTGTTATTATATACAGTACATGTTATTACAGTATATTAGTATCAAGGTGCTTTGAGGGCTGCAAAGCCCTCTCATCCACACCCCAAGTAGTGTTTTCCTTTGTTCATCCGTGAAGGTGGACCAGCTCATCGTGTCTAGGACAATGCAGTTTCAAACCGCGAGTTTCCGCCTCTCATGAAATCAGTCACAAAGCTGCATGGCCCAAGTGTCACTGGATTGTGATTAAGACAACCATTTCGGGTAAAGATGGATGAACCTCTTCTCCAAATCACTTGGTCCTTGGTGATGGTCTTATTCGTGGGTAGGGATCCCGGTTGACTAGTTTGTTCGGTGCTAATGGGATGAGGGAATGGTGGAATTTAGGCATCAATAGCGGTTAAGTTGAAAGGACGCAACAAGCCAACAAGGAGGCAGCTAGACCAGCTTAATTGGAGGCTGCTGTTGGGGGTGAAAAATGACCAACAAGGAAGAGATAAAACGGTGATTAGTCTTTCAGGGTTCAGCAGCCGCCCCAAAGCAATTTGTTGTTTTTTTTCCCTCCCGTAGGTGTCCCCATCCGCCTTCTGATCAGATCGCGCCGGCGAACATCACCATTCTGCCGATCATTGTGAGCTTCCCAACCACCAAGGCGCCGTTGATTTGGGCGAAGGGCCGGGTGTGCAGTAAGTGAAAGGCGAATGGACAGCCTCAGGTTTCAGTAACTCCCAGGTTTCTTTGGGCAACTGGGTTTGAAGCGGCCCTTAGGATTCGATTTTAGCCATGCCCTTCCCAAGAAAACAATACTTTTTTTGGAAAGAATGCAAAAACCAAGTAGTTGGAAGTCAATAGACATATATAATAGATAATTCATGATAATTATAGATACACAAAGTCTTTATGGCAGTCTCATGACTAATGAAGTCTACGTAGCAATAGAGTTAGTTGGAGACTTTTTGGAGGGCCATGGAGATTGCTCCATTTTCCCATAGTCGTATAGGACTTCTTTGGCAACATGACATGCTCAGTTCCAGTCAACCCCCCTGTAAAAATCCCTAGTTTACTACTTATCAGTGTCCCACCGTCATGTTTCCCCCTTCAACCCACCCTGCATCAGGCAATCCGTGTGACTGCGCCGGCGGGCTACGAGTGGGACTTCGAGCAGGTCGATTTCAGGCTGCAACGGGTCGATGGACGTGGCTCTAACGTTCGGTTGTTACTCCCAATCATCAAGCAGTAATGGCCTCCAACCCAATAGCGCAGGAAGGAAACTGGAAGTCATCGAGTCATCGGCCCCTTATTATGTTTTATCATGTCGACGTCGGATTAATCACCGGGCCCCCCCCCCCAGAAGGTCAACAAGGTCTGAGATTGGAGGTTTTGGAGATCACATCCCCCTAATAGTGGGGATGACCTGATGATGAAAGGGAATTAGTATTTGGAAGAATTGAGATGAAAGGGAATTAGTATTTGGAAGAATTGAAATGAAAGGGAATTAGTATTTGGAAGAATTGAAATGAAAGGGAATTAGTATTTGGAAGAATTGGAATGAAAGGGAATTAGTATTTTTAGAACAAAACTGCGAATGGAAGTGCAGCGACACGTACAGTGCAACTTGTACATATATATGTACCATATGTACTTTGGCTCAAGGATCAAGCGACTAGAAAAGGTGCGGTTTCCGTTCCGACGCTACGCCGCTTATGGACCGTCGGTGATAGCTTCAAACTTCGCTGATTAAGATCCACTCGCAGGTTATCAGCCGTACGCGCTCTTTATAGCCGTACGAGCTACACGAGACCAAGAACAAGACTAGTCATTACAGAAACCTGCAATGTCAAGCTCAGGAGGAAATGGAAGCGAACCCTATTCATTCGCTGCTCCTGGTGGTCCCAACACCATTTCGTCACCAGACTCTACAATGGGTACTGACTCATCAGCAAATGCTGACGTTATCACTATGCCTACTGGATCACAAATCTCGGAAAGATCCGTGCCACCGGCTCGGAATCTGACCGATCTTGCACCCGTAGGGCCAAGAAGATCGATGAGAGCTACAACAAGATCTACATCGCCTATAACGTCTACCGCGAGATCCCCAAGAAGGAGTATAGAGAAGAGACGTGACGATGATAGAGGAACAAAAGAGCAAAGAAGAGAGATTCAGCTGGGTGAAGAATTGAGATCGGCGAGAAACGCATACAATTTTCTTCATGAAGAATATGAATGCATCCAAGCCGGATACTCACGACTACACCACGAGGCTGAAGTGGAGTTCAGGCAAATGTCTGACTACAACAGGAAGATGCAGGAACATCTACAGGAGATGACACAGGAGGATGAAGGAGCGACAATAAGAATTGAAGAGCTCGAACACAAGCTACGCTTGGCGGAATCGACAGCTGAACATATCTACATGAGATATCAAGAGCTTGCACAAGAAACTCATCAAGAACATTCAGAGCTTGAATCTGTGAAAGCAACGAAGGACAGAATGTCCCAAGAGCTTCAAGCAGCAATTGGACACATCCAGGAACAGAATGAATCCTCATTGGCGATCAATAGAAGATCAAAAGCCATTCAGGATGAGAACACAGCCTTCGTCGGAATAGCTGACCAGATACAAGCTAGAATGATTGCGCTACAGGATGAAAATGTCAACATGCACGAGGTGATCCAACACCAGAGAGAAGAACAATGGAACAGTGAGGTCAGGGAAAGACGTCTTCAACACAGTGTTCACTCATCTCAAGATCAGAGCAATCAGGAAGCTATGGTTATTGATCATCTACGAGGTCAACTAGCTATGGCACGTGGAGCTGAACTCAACGCGAGAGCGGAGATAGGAGAGATGGAAGTGGGCATGAGGATGGAGATGTTTGTATGCCAGACTGAAGTCTCTGCTAGAGAAATGGCAGAAAAGAAGGCGAGCCACCATGAATACGAAGCAAACATCGCAAAGGAGGTTATCGCAAAAGGAGAAATATTCAACAACGAAGTCCTAGAAAGTTCCATCCGTGAACGACAACAATTGAAAGACGTCAACCTCGCTCTATCCGAAGCCAACGCACAGCTGAAAAGAGAGAATATGATGAGAGCTCCTATGTTTGGCGATGATGGTGCTGAAATTCAACAGAAGATCAGAGAACTGGAGAATGCACTATTGGAAAGCCAGAAGGAGACAAAGAATGTCATTATGGAAAATGCGAAATTAAAAGCAGAAGCACGAATGGCACCCATAGTCTCTCGATACAGCAAGCGTCCTAGTTCCAGAGACCGCGGGTTACCAACCCACGCGTCCGAGGAAGATGAGATTCGGAACGCAAAAGAGGAGGCGAAGTACTACAAGGACGGGTACAATGAGATGACAGAGAGCCGAGACGAGATGTATGAATGGTATGCAGAAACCCACAATGAGTACGCCGAGGAAAGGGAGAAATCAATTGAGCTATCCGAGGCGAACAAATCATTGAGGGACAAGATTTCAGAAACAGAAGCATCCTCTTCATCTCATCTTGCACCGGCAACCTCTACAATCATGAAAGTATCGAGGAAGGAAGAATCAAAGATAAACGTTCCGTCATGGCCCAGGATCAATGATCTTGGACTATGGAAGGCAAATCTCATTCAATCGATCATCATTGCGGCCAATGATTCAGATCAAGAGCCCTGGATCGACTGGATCAAAGAAGCCATGGACGATCCTGATCCGGACAAGTTTGTCGACTCAGGAGACCAAAGATTCCATTCAATCGATGCCAAACTCGGCCTAGCTCTTACCAAGGTCGTCATGGATGCGAAAGATGATGGTTCAGGTGTAGCTATGAAGTTGAGGACGAGGATCAATGCAAAAGGGAGAACATCAAGCCTCATAAAGGGAAGAGAGGTCCTAGCCCTGATCCTCATGAATTTCAAGACAACATCAAATGTGGAAGTCTTATATACTTCAATGCACCTCTACCAACTAGAATATCAAGGAGACAAGAACTTATCGCTGTTCTTCCACACTTGGGATGAGATTCTGGCAGGAATGAAGCCCGTTGACGTCCCGAGCGACGAAACTCTTCGGGATCTCCTATGGAGAAAGATCAGGAACTCAAACCTCATGGCATACGACATCAGCGCCTACAATAGCATGAACGACGATGACGCCAAGAAGACATACAAACATCTACGTGATATGATCAGAAGGCACATCGAACGGCAAACTGAAGACAGGATGATCCTGGAAAAGGAGAAGGCAGTGAAGAATGTGGCCAATATCTTTCAGAATCTCAAACCAGGCGGACCTGCTCCAAAACTGAAAGCTGCACCAGCTGATCCGAAGAAGAAACCAAAAGGGCAACAAGAACAGGTTGTCTCAGAAGACGCTGCTGCAGTGAAGCCGAAACCCAATCCCAAGAAGCATCCTGAAGACAAGAACAAAAAGGGAAAGGGGAAAGGTAAAGGTGATGGAAAGGATCGCAGCCGAAGTCCGAGTGCAGACAAGAAGAAGATACCATGCAAATTCTTCGTGAAAGGTAACTGCACTATGGGGAAAGACTGCCCATTCAGTCACAAGAAACCCAGATCACCATCCAGAGGACCTTCTGTCGGAAAGAATGACAAGCCAGTATGTTGGATGTGGATTCGAGGAACTTGTGACAAAGGGAAGGATTGCAAGTTCTACCATGACCCAAAAGCCTCTCCTAAGAAAGGGATATCTGCACCGGCTGACTCAGGAGACGATAGGCCAAAGCCCAAGGCAAAACCCAAACCGAAGCCTAAGGCGAAGCCTGGGGCCCCAGCCATTGGCGGTGAACTCTTCATGGACGAATCCGAAGATGAAGGGATTGCTGCGTCCGCCAAAGCAAGAGAAGGAGGTGCAAAAGTATCCTTTGATGAAGAGACTTGTGAGATCATGTTGAACGAAGCGATCTACTCAGTCAGGGACAAATGGAAGGTAGTAGAAAAGAAACCTCTACGTCCGGACATCAAGCGATACGATGAGAAAGAGCTCACCTGCTACACGAGGAAAGAACAAATCAGATTTGAAGAAAAGGTCGCAGAGGCGAGAGGCATATTGATGGTCCCCTACACTGAGATCAAGAGGGTCCGAATACCAGTTGGACCAAAGGGTGATCTATCGGTCACTATGTCTTTTGACGAAGATGACGGCCTAGTTTTCCATCATAAGATCATTCCTCATGTATGCGAGGGAAAGAAAGATCATGCAGACACAAAGACATTGTCTATTCCAGCCAAAGGGTCAAGAACGAAGTTCATCATGGACACAGGATGTGGATATGATTTGATATCGAAAGGCAGAGCCAAGAAATTAGGTCTGGAAGTGAGAGAAAGCGACCAATCAATGTCATTCTATACTGCAAATGGAGTGACATCCACAAAGGGAGTCGCCGACATTCATTTCGACGAATTTGACTCTACCTACTCCCCATTCGTCCTAGATGAGTCTCCTTCAGTACTGTCTGTTGGAAAGAAATGCATGGAGGAAGGATACACATTCATATGGCCAGCCTGCGGCAACCCGTACATGGTTTCCCCGAACTACAAGAAAATTATGTTAGAAGTAGAGGGAAACATCCCATATATTGTCAAGGGCAGTGACTTCTGTACTCCCACCGACGATACAAGGGCGGAGATGATCGCAAGGTTCACCCTAGGAGAAGATGAAGCTGATTACCAATCGACTTTCATCAACTGTGATGTGGATCCTCAAGGAATCATGTGTGATAATGACGACCTTCCTGTGATTGAGCCTCCAAAAGTCAAAAAACAAAAGAGGAATAAGAAGTTCAAGGCATCTCCTGGAGAAGAAGATGAGGTAGGATCAGATGTCGCCGGAGACAGTGAACCAGAAGCTGACGATGATGATGCAGATGACATCGAGGTGGATGTTGTTGACGGTGCAAGTAGAATGGTGAGAAGAGGAACTCTGAAAGCAGATGCCAGGAAAATTGAGCATCTACTCACACATCGTTACAAGAATCCCTACTGTGAGTCATGCATCAGAGCAAAGATGAAACACTTCAAGACGCATCGAGGAGCGTTCAAGAGAAAGCTCAAAGCTTTTGGAGATCTGGTTACCTTTGATTTTGTCGATACGAGGAACATCCTTGATCAAGGGATCAGTACTGATCGAGAGATCTTCGTCATTCGTGACAGGTACACAGGCG